GTGGCTTGTTCTGCTTCTCTGATCTTCCAGCATTCACCCCAATACCTGGCTTCAGGTTTGTTTTTATTAATAAGACCTGTTAAGATTTGTGCTGTAACCACACTTGCTTGTCTCTTCTCCCCAAAATATAAGTATTTGTGATTATCTAAGAGCACGGAGCCTGGAAATTAGCTGCGATGTAGGACCAGTTCTGTTTCTATGTTTTTGTTTTAGTACTTAGGCTAATTATATGCATATACTATATCTGATCCTGGTCACCCCATTACCTCTCTTGTCCCACTCAGCTGCTAGATCTTTATGGTGTGATAATTACCTAGTTTGATCATTGTGCAACACTGATTCTTCTCTTCCCCTCCCGGGCTACCTCTACCCACAAAGGTGGTCAAAGGAAGTGCATTTGAATTGCCTCATCCTCAGGTGTATGGATTTTGTTCCTCAAACATCAGGGTCTACTTACAGCAATCACACTGTGACCTTGTGTATCTGTGGACTTAACCACAGTACAGAATTACTTAATAATACATTTAGGTTTTACCTCAGGAGCATGTTTTAAATGCATAATTGTTTTCTTTAAAAATATGAATATTCCTGTTATGAGGAAAGCATGTTATTTGGTGAGATTAAACTCTTGGCCTCCCTGTGTGTGCCTAATGCACTGCTGGCAGCAGAGCTGGAAATGGCTGAGTCCACCAGAACAGGATCTTCTACCCACGCTCTCCAGCCTACTTCAGAGGTGATCCATTACGCCCCATGCTTTTGTTTCTCTCTGGAATTTGAAAAAAAAAAAAGTAAAATTTTCTGTGAGTGGCAAATTCATAAGCTCGGGGCATGAAAATGTTGGGATTTGATATAAAGGAACCTTTAAAGGAAGATTAGTGGTTTAATGGAACAGTTGGTTGCCCTGGGGAATTTTGCTGTGGCAGAGTGGAATTCAGTAATGAAAGGTCCTGCTTAGTCTGATTGCCCATTCATGCCATGATCAGGGTCCTTCCTGCTGGACCCCTGCTGATTGATGGGGCTGATTGCAGGTGCTTCATAAACGCCATCTCACTGTACCGGAACAGGTACAGGTGGGGTTTGCCTGCCTGGGACTTCCTGGTTTGTGGCATGGTTGCTTTTTTTGCTAAGTGGAAGTCGACTGTCATTCTTCATTAATTATGTCTTTAAAATGGAGAAGCAGGGCCAGAGGATGGCTCAGTGTGTAACATGCCTGCTGCACAAGCAAGAGGACTAGAATGCGGTCCGCAACATCCACGTAAAAGCTGGGCATGATGGTGCACTAGTGACCCCATTGCTGAAGAAGGGATGACAGGAGGGTTCCTGGAGCTCCCTGGCCAGCCAGTCTTGCCTAATCAGCAAGATACTTCCCTGCCCCCACAAAGATGGAGGGCTCACAAGATGGCTCAGCCGGTAAAAAGCACATGGTGTGCAAGCCTGAATACCTGTATTTGCTCCCCAGGCCCCAGGTAAAACTGCAAGGAGAGAACTGACTCTACAAAGTTGTTTTCTGAACTGTTATGGCACATGCACACCCGCACACCATCTACATACACAGGGATGATAGATAAAAACAAGTAATAAGGAAGGCCCGGTCTTAGCTGGATTCTCAGCAACAGTTATGTGAATAGCTAGACAAGTGATATTATTAGTACCCAGTGGTTGCTTCCTATCCGTTCTGCCCTTAAAGGTTTCTGATAGCTTTTACATTTTCTGTAGTGGAGTGCATAATTAAAATACCCAGGAAGATGCCCTGTCTGTGTGCAGGAAGTGGAGCCACAAGACAACTCTCAGCCTTGGCTTCTTGTACCCGTGTCCTCGCCATGGCAACTATTTCTACTGTCATACGGTCATAGTCCCCTTCTAGATGAGAAGATTATCTTTGCATTGGACAGGTAAAGTTAAATCCATTTGCATTTATCTAAAAACCTTAAAAGTCCATTTGGGGAAGTGACTTGGACGTCATAAAATTATGATGTTGATTTGAGAGAACATTAAGTCTGGTCCTCTCCTTTGAATGGACCTTAAATCTGTGTCATGCAGACAAATGAGACTCTCTGTTTCATAAATGATTTACGTTCTATTTAAAAGTATGTGAAAATGGAAATTTCATGGTTTTCCATGGTTCTTCATCCCAGGAACAGGAGCTTAGTGAGCTTATTGTCAGCATACAGAAGTAGTCATACACTCAGCACATTTTCTTCGGGGAGAAGGAGGGTCTGGTGGGTATATTTGGGATGTTTCCATGCTCCTAAAGACCAGTGGATGGACCTTTGGTATTTCCTCAAGTGAGAGTCTCATGAATATCTTTTGGGTAATTCACTCATTTTCTTTTCCTGGTGTATCTTTGCAGGCATTTTTCTGCCCATATAAACTACAAAGGGATCACATACTTTTGTGGGGATCTGTGCACCCCTGCATAGAGATCCATCTGTTGCATTAGCTTCTCCTGAGGAGATGAGCAAACATCTGTTCACCATAGATAGGGCACCATTGATACATCAAAGTTCTTTTTCCACAGTGAGTTGATGGGCCTTTCAGAGCATGAGTGACCTCAAAACAGCCAGATACCCGTAATACCCCACCCCATTGCAGATGAGAGCCTCATGGAAGCTGCATCTGGGTGTCTCTTCCAGTGTGGTTCCATTTTAACATTCTCTAGTATCTCTTAAGATTACTTCCATGTGAGGGGAGCAGGAAGTAAGGACAGCAGCAGTCCCAGATGATGTCCTTGACACTCCTCTACCTTCTACTTATGAGGGTCAGTAGCTCAATTAGTATTACCATACACCCAGCTACCTCTTATTTTGGTCCCTTCAGTTAGTTGCCATGGCTATGGGGCCACAGTGCTCTAAGATGGTGATGGGTGAACATGTTATATATAGCCTTTCTAATCCATGTTTGGCTACCTTCATGCCCTCTTTAAATTCAAGTTCAAGTGTATGCTTTTCTGTGGGAAAGACCACTAGTCTTTGAGGGGTAACTTATTCTCCATGCTGGCTGTGCTAAAATATTTGTGGTGATAATTTTAATTCAGATACTTAAAATTCCAGGGCCTTGACAATGTGTGCTTTTCCCTTCTCCTTGTAATAAATGGCCGGTCTCTGGGCTAACTACCATTCTATGGCCATTTAGATCACAAGATATTTGCTTGCCAAGTGTATAAAGCTATTCCTTATGAAGGATTTTCCTACTTGATTGCAGTACCGAGCATAGTAATTTGTTCATAGTAGAGGTGTGTGTAGTTACCTGTGAATTCTGTGAAGAATCGAACTGCGGTGTCATTTAAATTCCAAGCCATTGTATAGTATGTTAAATTGATGATGCTCTGTCAGGTGTAGTCACAAATTCACATTCTTGAGCTTGTATCTTAAAGCTTTTTTTCTTTCAAAAAGATGTATTTTTTATGAGGCATGCATGTAGGACACTGGAACCCTATGAAGTGGCATTTCTTTTTCTATTGTTAAAGAGAGAGCAAATGGCAGGCCATTAATAAAGCCTGTGGCTCAGTGAACCCCAAGGTATCAGAGTTATATCTATTGCAATTCGGCTTTATTACACTGTTTGGGTCATAGGAGTGGATGATTTGGGCTGAAGTACATAGCAGAAAGGGAAATTGGACACACAGTTGACAATCAGAACCCGAGGATGCACTTAAGAAGCAGCTCAGAGCAAAAACAGGTGGGACTCTCCCAACAGGACCTGGATTAGTGGCTCCTCCTGACATTGAGTGACATGTTTCATTACAGCTCCCTACAGTTGGCTGTTTATATTCCTGCATGAGATCTACATCAGCCCAAAGAAGGGAAAGTGACAATGTCTTACTCTCTCTTCATATTCCCAATGCTGCTGCAGGGTCTATTCCATAGGATCAATGCACATTTGTTTGTTTATTGTGGCCAGGGGTTGAAGTCAGAACTGGGCCATGTGAGGAAAGCACTCTACCACTGAGCCACACCCCAGCCCCTCACTGGGGGATTCTAGGCAGGTGCTCTACCACTGAGCCACACCCCAGCCCCTCACTGGGGGATTCTAGGCAGGTGCTCTACCACTGAGCCACACCCCCAGCCCCTCACTGGGGGATTCTAGGCAGGTGTTCTACCACTGAGCCACACCCTAGCCCCTCACTGGGGGATTCTAGGCAGGGCATGCGGCAGCCCCTCACTGGGGGGATTTTTTTAGGCAAATGATCTACCACTCAGCCATACCCCAGTCCTTCACTATAGGATTTGCCCCTCGCTGGGGAGTTCTAGGCAAGCATTCTACCACTGAGCCGCATCCCCATTGATAGTCTACAGACAGATTATTGCTGTGATAAAACACTGTGACCAAAAGCAACTGGGGGAAGAAGGTCTATTTGGCTTACTGGTTCTGATAATAGTCCATCATTGGGGGAAGGCTGGGCAGGAACTAAGGCATAAACCCTAGGTCATAGTAGCACTTCATTTGACCCAGCACACAGTAGGTAGAGTCAAATGGTCTCCACAGAAACCTGTGTGTTAGATTAGCAGAGCCCACTGAAATGTGAATTCACAGAGGAGACCATGTCAGACTAAGGTGAAGAGCCATTGAGGAAGACATCTGACAAACATCACATATGTGTGCCCTCACACATGGGAACACAAGTGCATGTGCATAGATACTACACATACACACAAAAATAATGAAATAAATAAAACAATGAATTCAGTGTCTTGTACAAGCAGGGATGTTCTGGTGTGTCCCTTTAATAGACTGACATTAATTCTAAAGAGGAGGGACTTGTGACAATTTCATGGACCCTTTGGCATTTTGAAGTATCTCCTAGGCTGCTGCTTTTTCCTAGTGTATCAGGGATTATTTGCTACTTAATTGGGCTACACAGCCTTCATCTCTACTGTTGAGCATTAGAACTGTTCGTATAATTGATTTATCGTTTATGTAGATTTATCGATCGAATAGGGTTATTTTCATCTTCGCTTCATTACTCTTTCTCCGTTCTTTCTGTTCTTTGAATATCTCAGATGATGTTGCACCGTATTTCAAGACAGAGCCAGGCCTGCCACAGATCCACCTGGAAGGGAACCGCCTTGTCCTCACCTGCCTGGCTGAAGGGAGCTGGCCTCTGGAATTCAAGTGGACACACAACGACAGTGAGCTCACCACCTACAGCAGCGAATATAAGTAATTGATGGCTTGAAATACAATCATGAGGTCATGTGTTGAAATCTTTGCCTTGTCAGACACGATGGCAAAAGGCTGGCGGTGCTGGATCAAGTCCAGGGCGTCGAGGGTCGAGGGGTAGATCTTGTGTGTGGTTAGAATGGGACTTGCTAGTCTGGAAGGTGTTTTGACTTAAGTGTCTATTATTCCACTTGTGACAGTAGTCCCATTTAGTAAAACGAGTAGGGACGGGAATCCACGCAGTACTTTAATGTGACACATTTGCTAGTTTTGGTGACAACCCCACCTTGCAACTATTGCTTACATCTAGTTGATGCAGGCATTTTTCCTGTAGGTGTGTAGATCAGGAGCTTCCAGAAGTCATGCTGTTAAAATCCTTTCTAGCTGCTGCTTCTGCTTTGGCTGCAAAAGGGGCATCAGTGGTTGAGTGGGTGTGAGCAGAACCTTGTTACTCAGCAGGAAACCCAGTGAATATGGACAGCCTACTAAGCACTGGCCTACCTGCCAGATACAAGGGTACAAGGAACTTGATTAGCCGCCAAGCTCAGTGTGGGGAGGGTAGAGCTAGAGACCAAGCAGGTTTAAGCTGTAGCTATATCTGGGAAGTAGCCCTACCTCTGTCTTGCAGCCTCAAGTCTTTGTATTTAAAAAGGAAAATTAAAATTTCTTAGATTATTTTTTAAAAGATTTATTTATTTATTATGTATACAGAAGAGGGTGCCAGATTTCATTACAGATGGTTGTGAGCCACCATGTGGGTGCTGGGAATTGAACTCAGGACCTCTGGAAGAGCAGTCGGTGCTCTTAACCTCTGAGCCATCTCTCCAGCCCTAGATTATTTAAGTTAATGTATGAGTGGAACTCATTGCATCTTCGTCCGTACATGTCATTGTATGCTGTTCTAACTGTCCTCATTCCCATTGCCCTCCTGTCCGTCTGGACCAGCAGAGAGTCTGTCTTGTGTTTTTATGGAACCTTCCTCCCCTCGAATGATTTCCCTTCCTAGTTCCATGACCTATACACAGATACACCACATGCACACATGCATGCACACCTTTAAGCCTAAGTTTTACATATGAGAGAAAATATATACTTCGCTTTCTTAGCCTGGCTTATTTTGCTTAACTTAATGATTTTGTGTCCCATCCATTTTGTGCAAATGTCAAAATTTCATGTTATGTTTGAAAACATTCCATTGAGGATATGTGCCATGTTCCTGTTATCCATTCATCTGTCGGCAGAAATCTCAACTGGTCCAGTTTTGTTGCTCCTGTGAGAAGTGCAGCAGCAGACACAAATGTGTAGGCTTCTCTGTGGTACGTTGACTTAGAGGCTTTCCAGTACAGACTAAGAGAGTGGTCTACCTGGGTCCTGCATTTGACCTAATTTAAGCTTTTTGAGAACCTTTGAGATTGATTTTTTTTTCCACAGTGTTGCGTAATTTTACATTCCCCTGGGCATCATCATAAAGGTCCCTCTTTCTGTACATCCTCACTAGAATCTATTATTGGGTTGTGTTTTTTTCTTTGCTCTTTCTTGGTGATAGCTATTCTGATTGGGGTGAGGTGAGACCTCGTTGAAGGTTTTATTTGCATTTCCCTAAAGGCGAAGGATGGTGAACACCTTTTAGAATATTGATTGGCCATTTTGTATTTCTTCTTTTGAGAACTGACTAGTCAGTTCACTACTACACTTATTGATTGGGTGCTTTTTAATGTTTAATGTTTGCGGTTTTTTATAGACCTTGATATTAATCCCCCATGTGCTGTGCAGTTGGCAAAGAGTTTTTTCCTGTTTTATAAACTGTCTCTTCATGCTGGTGAGTGTTTCCTTTACTGAGTAGAGACTTCTTAATTGCATGTAATCCCTCATGCCAGCTCCTGAAATGATTTCCTGTGCTATTGAATCCTGTTCAGAAAGTCCTTGTTGGTGCCTGTACCTCAAAGTGTTATTCTCCATAATTTTGCTAGCAATTTCAGACTTTTGGTCTTGTATAAAAGTCTTTGATCCATTTTGAATTGATGTGTGTGTGTGTGTGTGTGTGTGTGTGTGTGCGCGCGCGCGCAGAGTGAGATATGGATCTACTTTCATTCTACCTGTTTTTCTATCACCAGGCTGTTGTTTTTCAGATGTATGTTTTGTTTTTTTTTTAACCTTTGTCAAAAATTAGGTTTCTGTGGATGGGAGGATTTAAGCCTGGCTTCTGTGTTCTATTGACCTGCGTGTCTGCTTTGTACCAGAACTGTGTTATCTCCGTCACTGTGGCTCTTCGGTATAATTTGAGGTCGGGTTTTGTGATGATAGAGATTGCTTTGGGTATTTACGTCATTTGTGCTTCAGTGTACAACTTAGAATCTTTTTTTTCCTCCCAGGTCTGGGTTTCTATGGGGGTTGTGCTGACTCTGTAGCTGGCTTTCTGTGACATAGCCATCCTCACAATATTAATTCTTCCCATCCATGAACATGAGAGGTCTTTCTGATTTCTAATGTCTTCTTCAATTTCTTTCTTCAGTGTTTTAAATTCCCATGGTAGGGATCTTTCACTTGCTTGCTTAGATTTACTGATGGATTTTTTAAAATCTATTACAAATAATTTTTGTTGTTGTTTTTGTTCTTTGGGTTTTTTTTTTTCCTCTGTCTGATTTCTTTCTTGGCAAGTTTTCTATTGATATATGGAAACACTACTGATTTGGGTATGTTGATTTTTTTTAATCCTGCTGATGAAAATGTATGCATTTCTGGGAGTTTTCTCACAGTCTGTCATGTCTTAGGGTGTAGAATAGAATCATCTGCAAATAGTAATAATTTAGTTTCTTGATTTCCTATTTGTGTCCCCATTTTCCTTTCTCTGGCCTCACTGCTTGAGCTAGACCTGAAGCATTTATACTAGATAAAGTGGAGACAGTGAGCATCCTTATCCTATCCCCGACTTTGGAGGAAATTATTTCAGTTTTCTCCCATTTACTATAATGTTAACTGTAGGTTTGTTGTATATAGCCTTTATTGTAGTGAGGTATTTTCCTTCTATCTCTCATTTTTTCAGGGCCTTTATCACAAACAGATGTTGAACTTTGTCAGATGTCTTTTCCACAGCTACGGTGATGATTATATACTTTGCCCTTAGGTCTGCTCATTTGCATACATTGGAGTGGAACCAACGTGGTAGTGGAATGTGGTATTAATTAATGTGTTCTTTAATTTGGCATGCAAGAATTTCATTGAGAACTTTTGCATCTGTGTTCATTTGGGAAATTGGTCAAGGTGTGTGTGTGTGTGTGTGTGTGTGTGTGTGTGTGTGTGTGTGTGTGTCTGTGGCTTGGTGTTAGGGTGGTGTTGCCTTCATTAAACAACTTCATTGATATTGTTACTTCCCTTACTATGCCACAGAACAGTTTGAGGATTACTCACCTGTAGTGGTATTTGCTCCACCCATGACCTTGGGCTATAAGGCCCCACCCTAAGGAGGCGGTGCTTCTTGCTGTTGTAGGTGACCTCTTAACTCACCTTAGCTTGTCTTCAAAGATCTGGTAGAATTTGGTGGTAACTCCTATGGACCCTTAACTGGGAAATGTTTTAATACTGGTTCAGTTTTGTTGATTTTTATGACTCTGTTTCACTTCTTTACATCCTCTTGATTTCACTTGGTAGATCATATGTGCCTGGAAATATATCCATTTCTTTTAGATTTTCCAGGGCTTTGATGTGAGTGTTCACAGTATTTCCCAATGATTCTCTAGATTTCATTGGTGTCTGAAGTAGCCTCCCCTTTTCTTCTTTAGTTATAGTATCTTGGGTTTTCTGCTGCCCCTTTCTTTTTGTTAGTTTGGCTAGGGGTTTGTTAGTCTTGTTTGTGTCTTTGAAGAACAAATTCTGGTTGATTCTATGTATTAATTTTTTAGTTACCACCTCAGTCCTTTTGGCCCTTGTCTGGTTTTGTGCTTAACTTGCTCCTGATCTTTGAAGAGCTGGAGGTACATCATTAGGTTGTTTATTTGGCATCACCTGGTTTTAAAAAGAATATGAACACTCATAGCTAAAACTTTCTTCTTAGAATTGCTTTAGCAGTGTCCAAAGGTCCTGGCAAGTTGTACTTCCACTTTTATCTGATTCTAGGGACTTTTAATTTCCTTGCCAATTTTGTCAGTGACCTTCCCGTCAGTCATTCAAAGGTGTTTTGCTCAGTCTCCACCTATTTGTGTTGTTTCTGTAGTTTCTCTTGCTGCATTGATTTCTACCTTTATTCCTTTATGATTTGATAAGATTAAAAAATCCAGTTATTTTTGTATTCGTTAAGTCTTGATTTGGGCTGGGAAGGCCCTAGAGAAGGTTTCATGACTGCTGAGAAGAATATATATTCTGTTTCTGTTAAACAGAATGTTCTGTATACTTCTATTAAGTCCTTTGACCTATGGTATAATTTAACTGTGGGGTTTCTTTGCCCATCTTTGTTTGGATGACCTATCTAAAAATGAGAATAGTATATTGAAACCACCAACTGCTATTGTATGAGGGTGTCTCTGACCTTTTCTGTCCATTAATATTTGTTTTATGAAATTGGGAGCCCTGAGGTTTGATGTGAATATACTTTTGGTTGTTGTATCTTCTTGATGAGTTGTGCCCTTTATTATTGGCCTTCTTTCTTTATGTGACTGCACATGTATGTGTGACTGTGTATGTGTTTGTACACATGCGTGTAGGCAAGTATGTGTATTTATGTAGAGGCCAGAGAGTGATATCAAGTCTCCTCCTTTATCATTCTCCACTGTATACTTTTAAAAGAGGGTTCCCCAGTGAACCCGTAGCTAGTCTGACAACCAGCAAGCTGCAGCAAGCCTCTTGTGTCCATTTCCCCAACAGCACTGTGGCTATAGGCAGATACGTGCAGCTATGCTCAGCTTCTTCTTGGGTGCTGGGAATTCATGCTGGGGTCTGCATGTTTACATAGCAAGCATTTCTCAGCACTGAGCCTTCTCTCTAGTCCTGTGTGTGTTTTGACTAGC